AGGAAGGGAAGGAAGGAAGAAAAGGAAGGAAGGAAGGAAGAAAGGAAGGAAGGAAGGAAGGAAGGAAGGAAGAAAAGAAAAGAGAAAAGAAAAGAAAAGAAAGAAAAAGAAAGAAAGAAAGAAGGCAAGCAAGCAAGCAAGCAAGCAAGCAAGCAAGCAAGCAGGGGTAGACACTGGGAAATTAGTAAGAAACTACTGCAACTGACTTGAGTATAGCTTTGGTAATGATGAAAGTGCTCACATTCTAAATGTATTTTCAAGGTAGAGCTGACTGGAATTAGACTGAATGTGGAATGTATAAGATCTTTTACTTGAGATGTCAAGGATGGCTTTGGGGGTTTAGCCTAAGCAAATGGAGGACAAAGCCACCATTTATCAAAAAGGGAAGTAATGAGGTCAGGCTATTCATGTGTAAGGAAAGGAGTATATGAGATATCTCTGCACCTTCCTCTCAGTTTGCTCTGAACCTAATATTGCTCTTAAAAAATAAATTCTTAGGCCAGGCACAGTGGCTCATACCTGTAATCCCAGTACTTTGGGAGGCTGAGGCGGGCAGATCACCTAAGGTGAAGCATTCGAGACCAGCCTGACCAACATGGTGAAACCCCATTTCTACTAAAAATACAAAAATTAGCTGGGTGTGGTGGTACGCGCCTGTAATCCCAGCTACTTGGGAGGCTGAGGCAGGAGAATCGCTTGAACCTAGGAGGCGGAGGCTGCAATGAGCCAAGATTGCACCATTGCATTCCAGCCTGGGCAACAGAGCAAGATTCCATCTCAAAATAAATAAATAATAAATTCTTATAAAGAGAAAGGGAAGACGAATGGATGAATAGATATGAAATATTAAAAGTTCAGTTTTGTACATCTTAAATTTGAGATATTAATTAATCAGACATTCACATTAAGATGTCAAGTAATAGATATTTGAGTCTGGAGTTGTGGAAAAGGTTAAGGTTAGACATATAAATTTCAGAGTCAATCAGTATAAGGATATACTAAGATCACCTAGGAGTGAATAGAGAGAGAAAAGGTCCTAGAACTGAGCCCTGGAGATATTCTATTGTTTAGCAGTCAGGAAGATAAGGAAGAAGCCACAAACAAGAGTGAGACAGAGCAGCTAATAGAAATAAAGAAAGCAAGAAAGTGGTATCCCAGAGGCCAACTAAATATTTCAAAAAGAAAGACACGATCAACTATACAAAAAAATGCAGACAAGGTTGAGAAGAATAAAGACGTGGTGGGTGCAGTGGGTCACACCTGTAATCCTAACACTCTGGGAGGCCGAAGCAAGATCGTTTGAGCACAGGAGTTCAAGACCAGCCCAGGCAACATAGGGAAACCCTGTCTCTACAAAAAATATAAAAATTAGCTGGGCATGGTGGCATGTACCTGCAGTCTCAGCTGCCCAGGAGGCTGAAGTGGGAGGATTACCTGAGACCAGGGGGTTGAGACTGCAGTGATCTGTGATCACACCACTGCACTCCAGCCTGAGCAACAGTGACACCCTGTCATCCAACCATCCAACCAACCATCCATCCATCCATCCATCGATTAGGAACTAACTACTGAATTCAGGATCATGGAAGTCCAAATGATTGAAGTGGGTATATAAGAGAATTGGAAGAGAGGAAATTGAAGCAGCAAAACCACTCAACTTTCAGAAATTTTACTGCAAGGAGAATAGAGAAATGGTGTGGTTCCTGCAGGGCGGCAGGGCATTAATTTTTTTTTAAGATGGGTAACTCTCTTCTTCTTCATCTGCAATGATTTTCCTGGTGACCTCATCCTGTCTTACGGCTGCAAAATACCATTTACATTCCAATGACTCCCAAGTTTATTATCTCTAGCCTGAATACTCCATACAAAACTCCAGATTCTAGTAAACTCCAGTCTACTAGAGATATTCAATAAACATATTTGAATAAATGCATTTATATGCTGGTAAGAATGTACTAGTAGATAAAAACCTGGAAGCCATCCTGTACTCACACTCTTTCCTCTTCTCTCACATCTCATCACCTATCAAAATCTTTTCAATTTTATTTCCTAAATATTGTTAATCAGTTCTCTCCTTTTTAGCTTCTCCATGTTCTTTACCTTTCACTTGGACTACTACAAAAACCTTTTTAAATAGTCTCTCTGAAACCAATCCCAACCTGAAATCTAACTTCCACAATACAGCCAGAGTGATTTCAGAGCACAGGACTAAGCAATTCACCCAACCCACCCTAGGCTAAAAACAACTTAAGTGGCTAAAGCAGGAGTCAGCCAGCTTTTTCTGTAGTGGGCCAAAGAGTAACAGTTTATGTTTTGCAGAATATACGATCTCTGTTCCAACTACTCAACTCTAGTGCTGGAGCACAAACGTAAATGACAAGAGACAATATGTAAAAATAAAATGGGATGGGGCCAGGTGCAGTGGCTCACCCCTGTAATTCTAGCACTTTGGGAGGCCAAGGCGAGTGAATCACTTGAGGTCAGAAGTTCAAAACCACTCTGCCCAACATGGTGAGACCCTGTCTCTACCAAAAATAGAAAAATTAGTCAGTCATGGTGGCACACATCTGTAATCTCAGCTACTTGGGAGGCTGATGCCGGAGAATCACTTGAACCCAGGAGGCAGAGATTACAGTGAGCCAAGATCACATCACTGAATTCCAGCCTGGGTGACAGGATGAGAATCTGTCTCAAAAAAACAGAGGTGTGGTTTCGTTAATTTTCCTTTATTTACAAATTAGAAAGTAGAATGGATATGGTTTCCTGACCTAGCAGATAAAGCAAAATTCCTTAACATAGATGATAAGGATAATAATCACATAGCTATCTCCAATGTCATCTGCCAATCTACATTTCATACTTTGTACTCTATCACAGAATTGCTTATACTTCCATGTAACTATTACACCTATCTGCTTTTGTTTATATACCCTTCCGAATTTTCTTCTGGCTAACTCATACTGCATAAGACTTGGCTCAGGCAACACCCCTTCTAAGAGGCCTTCCTTGAACCCTCAAATTAGGTAAGGTGCCCTTCCTTGATCTCCCAAAGAACTCCAAGGCATACCTCTATAATACATTTTGCTATACTATATTGAAGTTTCGTTTAAATCCCTCACCACTAATTTTTAAGTTCCTGATAGGTGGGGACTAGCTCATTCATTTTCATAACTCTAGCATTCAGCACATAGTAAGCATCCAATAAATGCTTTTAGAATTGAACTGAAAGTTCTTCTTAGTAACAGAGCTGAAGTGACAATAAACATGTTAACTTCAGCATTACTGTAAATTTTTGAGGTAAGTTAGGTCCAAAAACAAAACATGAAACATCAGTGTCAAGAATGTTTGACAACAAACATCAATGTCAAGAATATTTTGGCTGGGCACAGTGGCTCATGCCTGTAATCCCAGTACTTTGGATGGTCAAAGCAGGCGGTTCACTTGACGTCAGGAGTTCAAGACCAGCCTGGCCAACAAGGTGAAACCCCATCTCTATTAAAAATGCAGCCTGGCCAACATGGTGAAACCCTATCTCTACTGAAAATACAAAAATTAGTCATGTGGTGGCACATGCCTGTAATCCCAGCTATTTAGGAGGCTGAGGCAGGAGAATTACTTGAACCAAGGAGGCAGAGGTTGCGGTGAGCCAAGATCATACCACTGTGCTCCAGCCTGGGCAACACAGGGAAACTCAGTCTCAAAAAAAAAAAAAGCCTTTAAGCTTTAATGACTGCCCTATTGGATTTCGGACTCGCATGGGGCCTACAGCCCGTTTGTTCTGGCAAATCTCTCCCATTTGGAATAGCTGTATTTACCCCATGCCTGTACCTCTCTTGTATCCAGGAAATAACTAACTTGCTTTTGATTTTACAGGCTTATAGATGGAAGGAATTTGCCTTGTCTCAGATGAGACTCTGGACTTGAACTTTTGGGTTAATGCTGGAATGAGTTAAGCTCTTGGGAGACTACTGGAAGGGCATAATTGTGTTTTGAAATGTTAGGTCATGAGATTTGGGAGTAGCCAGGGGCAAAATGATATGGTTTGGCTCTGTGTCATCCCCCCTCCCCCGACAAATCTCACCTTGAATTGTAATCCCCACATGTCAATGGCAGGACCAGATGGAGATAACTGAATCATGGGGGTGGTTTCCCCAATGTTGTTCTCATGATAGTGAGTTTTCATGAGATCTGATGGTTTTATAAGGGGCCCTGTTTGTTCAGCACTCATTCTCTCTCACTGCCCTATGAAGAGGTGCCTTCTTCCATGATTGTAAGTTTCCTGAGGCCCCCCCAGTCATGCTGAACTGTAAGTCAGTTAAACCCATTTTCTTTGTAAATTAAAAATATATATAGTTTTAAAAGTCATAAAATATTTAATCCAATGTCAACACTAGCATTTAAGAGAAAGAAGAAACAAAAATCTTTAAGTCATTATGCCAAAATGGGAATTAAAACTTACTTCAATTTGAAGAGCTAGTTCCACTTGGTTGTGATAAGAACCTAAGAGTTCTTCAACAGGGTGTCTGAAAGAAACAAGTTATTGTGGCTGAAGGATGCTACATGCAAAATGATTGTTTTAATCACCAAAATAAGTGTATTTGTATCCAAAAACAAAGTCTGAAAACCTGCAATTAATGATTTAGATTATATACCTTGTCATGACTTCTTTGTAAGGTTTTTCTATTTGATACAGGTATTTGTTTAAATCCACAGGAGTTTCATCATCTTCTGTCTAAACAAACACATATACACAAAAAAATCAAATCCAATCTTTGGTCTTTCTATTGTCTAAATATAGTTAAGTATATGATAAAAATCTCGAAACTACAGTGTTTTTCTGAGAACTGAAAATAAAATTCTATCAGAATTAAATATTATGTGTAACTGATTCAGAGAAAAAAAAAGTCAACATCCTGAAAAAAAAAAATGTTAAATAGAAAACATAAATGCTTTCAAGTCTAGTTTCAGATATATAAATAGCTTTTAGAGAAAAAACTACTTCTGTTCTATATATAGAGAACAGAGAGCTAAAAACACTTTTATGGCTGATAGCCAACTGAATATGGGGTAGAAAACAAATGGGGTAGAGGACATTTAATTTTCTGCATTATTTTTTCTAATGTTAATTTTCCCTCCACTCCCCGTCATGAACAAGGTACTCGTCTCTTCTACTCTAATTATACACTATGCAAATGTAATCAGTAACATCATTCCTGGTCGGGTGCAGTGGCTCATGCTTATAATCCCAGCACTTTGGGAGGCCGAGGAGGCCAAATCATTTGACGCCAGGAGTTTGAGACCAGCCCAGCCAACACACTGAAACCCAGTCTTTACTAAAAATACAAAAAAAAAAAAAATTAGCAGGATGGATTGGTGCATGCCTCTAGTTCCAGCTACTCCAGAGGCTGAGGCATGAGAATTGCTTGAGCTTGGGTGGCAAAGGTTGCAGTAAGCCAAGATCACACCATTGCACTCCAGCCTGGGCAACAGAGGGAAACTCTATCTCCAAAAAAAAGAAAAAAAAAAATCATTCCTTAAGAAATTGAAAAGAAATGTTACCAATGACTGCCAAAATGTACTAAATTTTGTGAAATAGTCTTGAAAGAAATTGAAAGAAAGAAATTGAAAGAAATTCTGCCTAACATAAAAGCAAAACTCAAGAAAACCAAGAAAAAAAGAAAGTAGACATCACTGATATTTCTCCATCAAAAATTCTACCAAATGAAGAATAACTTTCTTTTGAGATTAAAATTCAATTATAAGTTCATCAAGGGTTCAAACAGTAAAACAAAATGGCTAAATTTCCTGCATTCTATTTTGCTTTAACCTCAAAAAAAAAAAAAAAAGCACTGAAAGCATTGTTGTTTTTTAAAGAGCATCCACCTGCTGAAGTACTGAACTTTTAAAACAGAGAATTAGTTTTCATTTTGTGATGAATAATTTATTTTTCTCAGTTTGGTACAAAGGTCAATGTGGATTTTCTTTTCAACCCCAACCCATATTTAGTATTTAAAATTTTTCCTTCTTCCTCATTTTTCCTTGACTCACCCTCATGTTTTCATTCTTGTATAGCTATTACAAACCAAACTTAATTTCTCCACTTTGATTTTCAAATATGCCTCTACCTCTGAGGAGTATGTTACCTAAACCTCCGTGATTGAAAATCTCTCCTCATTTGCTAACAGGTTCCTGTTGAGGACGAGTTCATCACCCCATTCCAACCATGAAATCATGAAAAATGTACAAGTTGAAAATTGGCTAATTACCAGAATTATTCAGATTCAAACAAATGCAATTCGGTTATAAGTTACACACTTACTGTTCGGGCCAGATTTTGACACATTGCACTGTAGGTCAAGAGTTGTAGTCTAATTTCTGTGTCCCATTTTCGACAGTTTTGAATATGTTCATGACTTCCAAGGCAATGATTACTGTTAAAATATATTAATTATTCACTATTATTTTATTCAAATTAGAAATTATAAAGGTGAGGGTAAAATCGAAATTGCACCTGCATCAGAAATTAAAGAGAATGGTAAAATACAGAAACAGTTTTAAAATCAAGTGTGAGCATTTAAACAGAGAAATTATTCTGTACAAGAGTAAATGTAAAAAAGAAAGAAGATGAAGACAAAGATGCAGAAGGAAGTAAGAAAAATAGGGACAGGGCATTTCTAGAAGGCTAGGAGAATAAAATCTGTAAAACAACTAGACTAAATGCTAGATATAATAAATTACCTGGATAAGAAAAAGGTTCATATAATGATTATTTCAGGCAACTAAAAGGAAATCACAGCTAACTGCTGTGTATAAAGTAACAGTGCATGCTGCTATAATGATGTGACTATTGACTCTTTACAGAAAGAACGACCCATTATATCACTTATTAAGCAACTGCCTGCCATTCTTCTGTAAAAACTACAAGCTCCTTAAGGGAATACAATGTCTCACTTATCTCTGAAACCCCACCACTGTCTTAGACATGATATCTTAGACATTGTATATTTCAATACAAGTTTACTGATTCAATAAATCAATTCAATAGGACCCGATGTATTTCTGCATCATAAATTTAACTCGAAATTTTTCTAGATTAAACCATTAAAAATGAAATTTCCAAAGATGTTGCTCAGTAGTTAAATAAACTTACTTCTGCAGCACTTCCTCTTGACCGCAAACTTTCAAAACATAGCTGCCAACATCTACTTGATTCAAGTCATCATGTACCCAGCAAAGGGCTTGCATAATAATAATTTCTACGGTAGAACTCACTGTAAAAGAGTTAGTCATCATTCTTACTTGCTCATATGTACTTATTCAAGACTGTATTACTTATAATTTAAGACAGCACTATTCAATAGAAATGTAATGCAATCCACAAATGTAGGCCACATTTATAATTTCAAATTTTCTAATAGCCACGTTGAAAAAAGTAAATGGAAAAAGGTGAAACTAATTTTAATAATATGTTTTATTTAACCTAATACAGTTGGTCCTCTATATATGTGGGTTCTGCACCTGTGGATTCACCAATCATGGAAAAAAACATTTGAAAAGAAAAAAGGTGCATCTGTACCAAACATGTACACACTTTTTTCCTTGTCATTATTCCTTAAACAATAAAGGATAGCAAATATTTACATAGCATTTACATTGCATTAGGTATTATAACTAATTTAGAGATGATTTAAAGTATATGGGAGTATTACATATTGTATTCCTGTATCAAAACATCATGTTAATCCTTCTTTGATGCTTTAAAAAAAAGATCACCTGTACTCCATTTATATGTATACATATATATATATATATATATACACACACACACACACACATACACATACCATGTACCCATACAAGTGAAAATTTTAAAAATTAAACAAAAAACAAATACAGTACAGAGAAGGATGTGTATCGATTATATAATAATACTATGTCTTTTATATCATGGATTTGAGCATCTTTGCATTTTGGTATCTGAAGGAGGTCCTGGAACCAATCCCCCACAGATGATATTTAGCAGTATCTAGCAAACAGTGATTTAAAATAAATTATAAGAAAAAGATTCACCATTTTAAATGTTTGACATTTGCCTGGTAAATTTTCCAATGAAAAATAAAAATACAGCAGGTAAGCTATATTTTTTAGACGGGGTCTAACTGTCACCTTCACTGCAGTGAGCAAAGATCAAGCCACTGCACTCTAGCCTGGATGGCAAAGTGAGAAGAGTGAGACTCTCTCAAACAACAACAACAAGAAAAACCCACAAAACTTTTCCTTTAACAACTAAAAGAATAATTGTTACAGTTAACTCATGTTTTTCTGTTTCAGATTTATATTTTTTCAAAGGGCCTTCAAAAGTACAAAGCAGGAAAGAATGTATCTGAATATTAGACACATTCCTAGCTATAACCAATAAAAAAAAAAAAGGCATAATTCTTAGGCCAAAGTACAGTAGAAATACAGGATCTCATTCCTCAGTTGGAATCCCATTAAGATTACATACATTATGAAACACAATAAACTCTGCAAGGAAATAAAATTAGTTTTTAAAACTAAGAAAACATTTCCTATAGACTTAGACATCTCTAGAGAGGATACCCATACCAAGTTTGGAAGAAAGAATTAAACCAAAAGAGAATTATCTTCTCCTTAGAGAAACTTAGCAAGACATCTGGAATTTCAATTTCACTGACAGCTCTTTAGAAGCAAACATGCTTCCTGTTATAAAATGAAGGAGAAAAATAAAAAATTAGATTGTAATGAGCTTTTCTATCTAATGCTTCTGGGTCCTGGGCCAAGAGCCACTGATTAACAAAAGTTACTCAGCACTTTTCAGAGAATTATGTATTTATAAAGGAAACCTGTTTCCCCATTAGTTCTAACCAGAAAACTATCCATATGAACACCAGAAAGACACATGATAACAAAATTGGTTTATTAAAAGAATGATAATATTGATATTTTAAACATTTCCCCAACAGAGCAAAACAAGAGGCTTGGGGAACTATAAACCTACCATCGCATGTAAAAGTAACTGGTAGCTGAAATCCTTCAATTTCAATGGAGACCTTCACACTAGCATTTTCTCCACATGTGTTTCTTTGCAGTGTAACTGGACTTAACAAATAGCCTGGATTTGTGCGGTGACTGGTAAATGGAAATTTGGTCTTCAATCTGTTCACAAGAAAGAAGTTAAATTCTTTTTTAGAAAGCTTCATCTGAGGGCTCTTAACAAGGCTTTACATGTTTACAGCCACTCAGTTCTGTGTTTGTCCAACTCTAAAGCAGCTCATGAACTGCAATGAATGAACTCCTGTTGAAACTCCAAATACCAGCATTTTCCTTTTAAATAAAAGAAACCCAAGGAAAAGGAAGAGATTACTGCCAGGATCTCTTTGGTAACATTATCAACGCCACCCAAGCACATGCTTGGATGAACGGCATTAAATGAGGTCTTCTGCTTCAAATTTTTTTGCCACAGAGTATAATTACACAAAATGGTACCTTTTAAATTATTGTATAGGCAATGTAGACCTAAAACTGTGATGGTCAAAAGGATAAAACGTTTGTTGTCTTAAAAATTTTTTTCTTCTAAGGACCTTTTTCCTACAAATGTTATTTTTGGCTGCTAGATGATGAACAAAATATAGACAATGGTTTTTTACAATGCTACAAGGCCTTTCTTCCCGCAAAGTGATTTCTAAAACTTAGGGAATTGAAAGAACTGACTGTGAAGGTATTCATAGGAGCAACACAGTTTAAAATTAAATACATGAATGTGGTGTATTGTTCATCTCCAGCCAGCAATGCTGTTATCATAAGACAAAACGAGATCTGATAACTTCTTTACGCTTGTGAGCTCTTTTAACTGACTTTTTTCTAGAGGTTAGAAGACAGGTGCCAGTCTTCTCATCTGCTTTTCACAGGGCGATGAATAGAATGAATGCTAGAAGTATTGTATATTTGCTTCTCTAGAGATTAAAATAATTAAGCCACAGAAGTAGAATAAAATAGCTTGAGCTGACAGAAAAAGGCTCTGGAGAGGTAGCAAATGTAACCATTAGTTCACAGCCTCTAGAGCCAGACTACCTTTGTTTGAATCCTGACTATACTACTTATTAGCTGTGTGAACATACGAAAGTTATTAAATTTCCTTGTTGCTTCAGTTTTTTCTTCTATAATCTGGGGGTAATGCTACCATTTATCTGATAGGGCTGTTATGAGAATTATGTGAATTTAGTTTACAAAGCATTTAGAACAGTGCCTAGTACATGGTAAGTGCTTTAACTTTGTCAAACAGATGAGTTAGTGAAGGAATAAATCTGGTTTTTGCACAGAAATCTCAAGCAACACAAAGGATCCAAAATTAAAAATATAATACACCTTTTCTTAGACTCAGGTATTCCTTTATAGCAATACAAACACTAAGACAGATGCTCACATCAAATCATGAAATTAATTGTATGAAATGTTAGAGAATGTTTTTATATCTAAGCAAGCTTTCAATTTTCAGAAACCCTTAAGGATGACAAAAGAAAAAGCAGAAATTCTTGATGATAGCTCAGACAAGAAGTTATTAGACAAAAATCCCAGTGATAAAACTTAGCTTTGTTTGAGGAGGAAAAATTTCAGTGATAAAACTTAGCTTTGTTTGAGGAACTTAGCTTTACAAAAGTAAAAGCAGAAATTCTTGATGATAGCTCAGACAAGAATTTATTAGACAAAAATTCCAGTGATAAAACTTAGCTTTGCATTTCCGTTTCTTAAAATAAGTCCTTTCTTTTACACAACAATGTGAACGTAATTATGTCACCGAATTGTACGCTTAAAAACAGTTAAAATGGTAAATTTTGTTATGTATATTTTGTCACCATTTTAAAAATGTTTTTATAATGAGTCCTTTTTGTATTTACTTGGTACCATGGAAGACACCAGGTCCAGAAAATATACTAATTTCCTTTTTCTGTAAAATTGACTTTCTAATCTCATGGTTTGTCTGCTTTATAAAAATTGCCAAAAAACAAAAAACACCTAAGAGGTAACATTCCTTACAATTGAGGTTTTTTTTGTAAGAAAATGTTTAAACATGCAAAATCAAATTAAATTATTAAATGAAAAACTGCTGTCTGAGTAAATTATTAACTTTAAATAAGACCAGATAAGGTATTTTTATGGATCCTCTAAGCCACACACAGTTTGGTGTTCTTAAGTAACTACCTATAAAGAGTATTTTTTTTTTTAACTCTAATTTTTATTTTCTCTAAAATTTCTATTTTCCTAACACTCAAATAAAAGTCTTTATCTGTTTAATATGGCTCTGCAGTTCAGGAAATTCAGTATGTCTATGCAGAAACAAAAATCCTTTATGGAGCCAAGTGTAGTGGCTCACACCTGTAATCCTAGAATTTTGGGAGGCCAAGGCAGGTGGATCACAAGGTCAGGAGTTTGAGACCAGCCTGACCAATATGGTGAAATCCCATCTCTACTAAAAATACAAAAAATTAGCTGGGCATGGTAGTGTGCTCATTTAATCCCAGCTACTCAGGACGCTGAGGGAGGAGAATCACTTGAACCCGCGAGGCAGAGGTTGCAGTGAGCCAGGATTACACCACCATACTCCAGCCTGGGAGAGGGAGTGAAACTCTGTCTCGAAAAATTGAAAAAAAA